CACCCGCTCCGCTCTCAGGGTTTTGTTCCCGTAAAGCGTACGCCGCTTGTCCTGTGTTTTACCACTTTTTGTTTGTTTGTTTTATTTGCCAAATCTTGAAAGGCAAAAATGACTCATTCCGAATAGTCCTGACTGGAGCTGATTCAACCGTAGGCTAGACGTCATGGTTGGCAGCAGCTAACTGCCAGGTAGGACAGCCAGAGGGGAAATCAAAATATTTCCAGAAGCTTTACATTTCCTCTCTAAAATGCTTATTTGACCTCTGTGTCCCCCTGTGTGTGTGTGTACACAACATGCATGGCCATTTTTTTTGTATATAAGGTAACTGGCTTTCAGGTGGAGCACTGGTGAAAACGCTCCAGCTCGGCATCCCCTCCGAAGAGCCGACATGCCATCCATCGGAGCGCTAAGTGGAATGCAGCATGACCTTGTTCAACCATGGCTCGGTACAGTGATGTCAGTGGAGAACATCAGCACGAAGCATCGATGCTATCTGCAAACATCACAGTTATGCAAAACACAGGATGCTATTTCAAAGTACCGTTCATTGTTACACAGGGTCTTGGCAGGATTTAAGCTGGCAACAGAAGTCTAGGTGATGGGGTTCCTTAAAAATAATTATGTTGCTGTGCAGTGACATAAAACGTGTTTTGCTACCCAGCAATCATTTTAGTTACACTAATACTGGCTTGGCATCTAGCTGAAAAGTAATGCACTGATGGATTTATTATATTATGACTTTATAACAAATCATTTTACAGATGTGCTTTCTTCCAGTCCACCCCTGGAACACTGACATATTTTTGGTGTATTTTCATATCTCAAAGTTAAGATATCTGGGTTCATTTCAAGTTACTAAACCTGAAAGAGTTTTTAAAACCTAATTTATTGTCCACGACCTGCACTGCCAATTTGCTTTTTGGATTCTGTTCAGGACACTGTCATTGTCTATGTCTCATCTGCAGCTGCATTGCACAGGAGGGAGCAGCTCTTAAAAAGAACTGCAATAAAGAGCTTCCTTTTTGTAAACTGGTCAATTTTCATGCTAGGGCATTTTAGTAAAATACCACATCGTGCCTTGATAACTGGAACCCTATCATGTCTTAAGGATACTCCGTTCTAGATTTTGGACAAGTCTCATTGTCTGCCATCCAAACTAAGAGAACTTTAGGCTTCTCTGCCTTTCCCCTCCTCCTGCACAAATGCCATTAGACCCCTCTTTTTAGCTGTTAAATCGCCACACTGTTTCTAATGCCACTTGAGAAACTACCATGGCGTACATTAGCTCAGATTTAGAAAGTGGGGGAAGCAAAAGAGCTGGGTTGTCTTTCTGACAGCCCATTTCCTCATTGTGTTCAAATAACGAGGTGAGGCTGATTCCATCTTTTCTGCAGGATGGTGTAGAACAGCTGATCCACAAACTGGATGAGGAGATGGGTCATTAAATGCTGCATCTCATCCACATTAGGCTACACTTTTACAACACAAACACTACTTCTGGGCCTCCCACACAATATCCTGAATTGGTTTGACCAGCAAGGTGCATTGCACAGCCCTACCTGGCTAAGAAGTCTCCTCTCAACTGCCCAGCAGGTTCAACTAGAGTATGAATTGAGTTGCTATGATTTTCATGTTTATAAATTAATTTTTCCCAAATAAGGATTTCCTTGTTTGTATACTGTTGAGTGCTTGCAAGCAAGGAAGCTGGCTCTTAAGAGCATTCTTTGGGACAGATTCAGTTTTCCTCAAAGTTTAGGTGAAGGCTCAAAGTTAGATGAGTTCCCTTCAAGCACATATTTTGCTAGAAGCAGCCATGTGGGAGATGATCACTTACTGTTTTTTTCTTCTTTGTTGCTCTGTAAGAGACTCACACAAACAAGAATGTCTACTAGCAAAATGAAATCATAGCAAAAAAAATACAGCTGCACCAGAACTGTTATCAAACATTAAGAAAAGAAGCTGAAGTGGCAGATGGAAGGAGTAGAGGAGAGAGAGAAAAAGCTGTGCAGTTTCAGTGATAAAACCTCAGTACCCATTTCTGATGTCTCAGGTAAAAATAAATACCTTTTCAGAAGAACATGTATTTTGCTTTTCTTTAAATTGGTGATCTGAAGCCTTCAGAGTCAAAGTGATGATTCCTTCATATTTTTGATATTTTTATGAAGAGCAATCATAGTACACTACTTTGTTTTTATAACGGTCAAATTATATGTATCATTTCTTGTCTTTGCAGCTACTCCTGTGGATAACCTCACTTAACTTGAAGGATCATCAGCAGACCTGCAGTTGTACCAAACCAGGGCTTATTCCCTACTATTAAATTAATAGGTCATTCAAAAGAGTAACAGAATAAATAGCTCTATAATTTTCCCTAAACAGGACCCAATATGGTGCTCAACATGTTTTGACATCTCACCATGCATTGAATTGGTTACCATCTGTTTGGCTTTTTTTATTATAAGGGTAGGTTTTTCCCTTTATTTCCTTGGCCAAAATTCTCCTCCCCCATGCTCTTGTATAGTGCGCCAAGGTGACCGTGCTCCAAAGACTCCTTGTCACTGTAACATCCTCCAGGGTTGCTCGGGGTCTAAGACACTAAGTAAAAGATCAGGCATGTAGGTATGCCGACTTTTGCCAAGAACCTAGCACTCAGTTTCTCATCCAAAGTAACATCGCCATATTTTAATGGGCAGAGGGATGCCAAATCCCCCCTAACACCATCTGGCTGTGAACTTCTGTATTTACAGCAGCATCACTCTTAAATATCTTCCTCTTTGGAGCAGCAAGACACTTGTGACTGCTCCCAGGAAGCTAACTTCCTGAGATTCACATATGGCTAGAAGGTAATTTAAAAAGTCTTGTGCTATCACAATTCTAAGAGCTAAGCATGACCAAAAAAAATTGTAATTTTTGTCCTACCTTGGAACTCTATTCAGCTCTGTTGTTTCCAAGTTTTAATGCTATTATTATTTCATGCAGACTGGTAATGGTTTACAACCTAGGCTTCCCAAATATGTGGACCCCAGAAACAAATCATGTTCTGCAGTGATTCTTTTGTTGAATGTTATGGCTGGCCTCTACCATAGCTAATCTATATGCATATGAAAACAGAAAATGCATTATCCCTTCTCAGCTCTATTCCTTGCTCTAACTCGCCAATATTTAAAAGATCCTGTAATAAACCAAGCCCTTCCTTTTTTTTCCTAGCCCTAACCCTGATCATCACTTTCTGCACCAAAATAAAGGGTTAAACTTGGCTGACTTGAATACTATCATAAACCCTCTCACCATTGTTTAATGGGACCTAAATAATCCTTAGATCCTAGGCTTTGTTTTCCCAAACTATCACAAAATATCCAACTTAGATGCAATAGTCTTACACACTACAGGGGATATAAATATTTGTACATCTTCAGGAATAACAGTTATGGAAGAGGTAAATTCCTTTTCAGAGAAGATATGAAGGCAAAGAGAAATAATCACCAGGAAAACAATTATATTGTCTTTCCTTCTGCAGTATTTTTAATTTCCTCCTTAGAATTTTTGGAGAAAGAGCACTCTGCAATCATTCTTCTAGGATAAGCAGAAAGGAAATGAAACTTTAAAAGACCAAAATGGCTGTTAGGTGTTTCTCCCATAGACTTCCATTAGAAGTTAGGTATAGAACTACATCTGACAATAATCTTCAAGGTTATTTTGACTGAAATAAAGGCCTTTTTTGTTTGTATCAGCAATGTGCTAGTAATAGTGTTATGCAAGTGCTAATGCTCGCGGGGAGGGGTGTGTGTGTGTTATACATTGTTTTTATTTTCTTTGTATTTACAGAAGTAAAATGCATTAAAATAGTGTTTTAAATATACATGGTAGCTTTCCTATTAGATACATAGCTATCATCTGTCTTTTTATTTATAAAAAAGCAGACACCTGTCATGCTCTTCAGACCTAATCCCATTTCTAAGGATTCCTCGTTCCAGCACACACTATTCAGTGACTACTCATGTTTTCTTACCAAACTCTCCTAACATACATCCTTGTGTTGAATTTCTCTTTAAGCCACACCATAATCATGCTAAATTTCTGGTGTGACCAAAATGGAATGGTAGCTGAACGAGATCAATTAACAATCCTTTTTATATGTGAACTGAGTATTTAACCACATGAAAGTGAAGCTTTTTTTTTTAAATCCTAATTGTCTTCCACATTTTGTCTTTTTTTTTATATTCATCCTAACACAAATACTTCGTTACTTACTGGAGAAATAATTTTTAGATGCAGTGAAAGCAAATGATCTTTTACTTATCTCAACCACAGGCTTCCTTTGTACTACCACAGGAACACCCCTGATTCCACAAAAATTGTTTTATAGAAAGCAATTTATTAAACCTCACGATCTGTCAAGACACATGAATATTGATGTGTTCACATTAACATCTCCTGGAGCAGCTGAAAACTAAATTTGTCATAACTTAATGGGAATTATATGTTGCAGAGCAACAAGTGACAGGGCTTAATTAAAGCAAAACTGACAAAGTATCTGAGCAACTATAATAAACGTTTTGTTTTAAATGTAGCTAAAGAACCACTTGCATGTTTTCATTGACTTGGAAAGGAAGGCAATGTTGAACTCTGTTTTAAAAGATAAAAACCTAGAATGGGGCAGGTGCAGTTATCATCTGGAAATTGCATATAACAAAATATGCAATTACTCTGGAATTTAGATATGGTAATCATGTAAAAGATGGCCATATCAAATTATATTTTACCTACATTCCAGAAGATACAAACTAAGATGCCTTTATAGCAAAGACACCAAATTGTTTTGAGAGCACAATTAAAACTTGTTAATAGAATTTAATCTTACACTGGTCCTAATACAAATGAATTCTAGATGTTCACAGGAGGACTTTTTCCTTGCTTTAAATCAACAAAATAATTTGCTTGCTTGTGGTCATCAGCACTACATTGCCATGTGTTAGAATTCCATTTAGAAACCTGGCATTCCCCACCCTCCCGTGGGCTGCAGAACACTGTGTGTATCCTGATTTGTGGTGAAAGATTTTCTGACTCAATCCAGTCCATGCACTATATTTGGAAACTGGAAATCTGGGCGTCATCAAGGGAAAGATTTCTGTATTTATGTAAGTAGTAGGCTCTTAGTTGATCTCTGTCCCTGAGATCAGCCAGAAACAGCGATGTGCCAGACAGACATCTCCCTATCCAATATTGATGAGTAGCAGAGCCATGCATGCCCATAAATCTCTTTGGCTGACTTCCGGAAAGGTGTAAGAATGTGAATTAATTTAGGAGTTAGCTAGATGGCGTTGAAAGATACTCATATGTCGCTACACCATTGTGATTTTGGGGAGAACAGGTCTAGCTATTGTTGGACTTTTCTGGAATACATAAGGTTAGATTGATGTCAAAACTATGCTATATAACAAAATGGCAGGCAGCCTTCTGGGGAGGGAAGCATCACTAAAATCAGTTTTCCACTGGACCAGAAAACATCCCCCTTTTTGAAACAGGGATGTTTATTAGTTTGGTTTTTTAAAAAATATGTCAGTTCAATGCCAATTGCAACCTACAATTCAGTTGCGAAGAGCCTGCTCATATCAAATCCACACAGAGGCAACTGCTCCAGTCATCTCTGCTGTAGAAGTCATTGGGAAGTGTAAGGTGCTTTCCTGCAGCTGTGTTGGCTGACAGATGTAGATACAACATACTACAGAGTTCCAAGATTTGTTACCTAAAGCAAGATAAACCCACTTGCTCTTACCTACAGTTTAGTCAAGATTGAAGCATCAAAATTAAGTATTAAAATAGATTAAACAAAATATCTCTGTTAAAAGCTCTTTTAAAAAAAACCCTTTTTACTAACTCTGGTGAATTAAGATACAGAGGTAGACTTCACTTCTTCATATAACTGAACTTGAAAGAAATTCTGTCTTTTTTCTTTTGAAGATTTATTCAAAAAGTTCCAGAAAACAATAATCTGTACACTGCAGCCTTGTAAGCATGGTGGCAAGAATTAATAGGGGGAAAAAAAACGATAATAGCACTTTGTTCAGAGTATAAATAAAAGCATCAGATGAGGCAATGACAGCTTGAATGTAGAAGGATTCTTCCAGGTAAGACTAAAAGAAATTTAGATATGATTGCCTGTCTATTTTTTAATTTGGAATCACGATTTTGGTACTTTACAGACTTAAGATGTTCTTGCTCTGAGTGGGTGTGTTCATTCCTGTCTTGAAGAACTCAGCAATGACAGCCTACATGTTACTTTATTTAATTCTTCTAGAATTAGTTCTATACTGTTTGCTTAGAGGCCAAGAAATACTTTACAGTGACTATTGTGGGATTCTGATTTTTAAACAGCTTCTCCATGTTAAGAATTGTGATGAATAAGTGATTAAGAGAGAACACTGACAAACAGTGAAGTAACTTAATGTTCATATAGGGATTGAATGAGAATTTTTGGCTGCTTGGAAGGTCCCTGCATGGTCAAATCTCTCTTTTTGGAGTGCTGATCACCATTCCTGACATGCTATTGGCCTGGCTCACATTGTTTTCTTACACTTTTAAATTTCCTTTGCTACCTGGAAGGAAAAGGCTACGAAAATGCTATATTCTTCCTCAAACAGAAAAAAAAAAGCACAGTGGAAGGTTGTTGCAATGATACAATGTTCGTGGTCTGCCAAGGAATTGCATTTAGCCATTTTTAGCCAAAGGCTGGATACTAAAATTCAAGACTTGAAAGAAGAAACTCCATGCAAAAGAGCTTCTGTGGAATAAACATTTCCTGGAAAAAAAAAAGAGGGGGGGGGGGTTCCGGCTCAAGTTTTTTGCCTACTTTTCTTTTTTCCTTTGTTTTTAAAGTACTGCAGATGGACTTAGTTTTAAAAATCAGTTTTTAATAAAAGGTGGGTTTATGCTACTGTTTCAAATTCCTCTGTAATCGAATGAATTGTCTAAGTACTAAGGTAGAATATTTTCTACTTTCTGCTCTTCTCATCACTCAGCTATCCAGTTTTACTTAGAGCAATGATTCTTTTGCATTGATTCTCTGAAGTCTTGAAATGGATCAGATGCAGCATTTATGAATTGTGCCGGTGGATAAGAACAGCTAAAAAACAATTATCAGAAAAAGCCTAATAGCCAACCTCGAAATGACAAAAAACCAAAAAAATCTATGCTAAGTAATTGTTATTAACCTTTCTAAAGCAGAACACCAGCTACCACTTAAAGTCCTCCAGAAGACAGCAGTAGAAGCAGCGGAGGAGGCTCTTTAAATCCTACTGGTTTTCTGTTTTGCCAAGCTAGGATCCTTCAGCACCAAACTGAGCCAGAGGCACAGACAGGCAATGCTGGCAGTGGTGTTCAACAGCTGTGTGGAGTCTGCTAAGGGGTGGCTATTCTAGAGCCAGTATCCCCACCTTATACGTAGCCTCTTGGGGCAAAAATGCCATCTAGACATTCATAAAGATCCAATAAACAGGCTGATACAAGGCATTTATAAATGATGAAGGTTCAGGAACAAGCCTGTCTCACCACCGTGATGTCAACTGCCCAGCTGTGGTATGACCAGGAGGACACACAACTCCCACAGCATGAATTGGGAGTACCAACACATCACAAAATAGCAACTGCTAAATAACATTTTTCTTTTCATCCCTACCAAGTCTTTTGTAAGGGGCCATTTCTGCCCAAGCTGAATGCAAGTTGTACGTTGATAGTAGATTGATGATCTTTTGCTTCATCTGCACAGCGCTCCATGCCAAAAACCATGAGACTGCAGGACTTCAGTCGTAAAGAAAAAAATAATCAATAAGCCTGGGCAGCTTGTGACGCTTAGTGACAGATTTCCACTGCCTGGATGGCTATATTTTAATGTAGACAAAAATAGTTAACACCGCACTTGCATGCAAAAAGAAGTCATCTGCTTCTTATCTAATGTGTAATTCAATAATTCCTATAATTGATCTTCATTGACAGTTTATGCAAGCTCACTCACCCACACTGCACATATTGTGCTTCCTGACATAATTCCCAACATAGACTATGATATTTCAACAGAGGAAGCTTGTTAAATCAGGTCAAACAAAATAAAGAATCAGAATCTGCTGCAAGTATCCTTGCAGCTGTCTGTCTTTTCACCCTACCCTCCCAACCCTACCCCACCCCACCCCAAGAAAAAGAAACCCAACTATTGGTATTTCTGTAACAGGCTAACAATACAAAAACCAGTTTTGTTAAAAGTTGATAGGCTCCAGAAGAAAAAAACCTCATCATTTTCTCCCTAGATGCCGGACTATTACTGTTGATCAGACATAACTGCCAGTCTTTATTGTTTCCACATGGTTTGATCTTCCCTGGAAGTGCCATATATATTCTAATGATCTGCTGAATTAAAAGAATTCTAAATTGGCTCCCAACTGATGAGAAGCTATTTCTGAGATAGGACAATAAAGGACATTTTCTCTCATAGACAAAGCAACACAAAAATTACGGAGGTGATAATGGGTCTTCAGGTGTCTGAAAGAGTGATATGTAATTTCAGAGAAACACAAACAATAGATGCATTTTCCATTTACAATAATTGTAAATAAAGAGCAACATAATGTTTCTGTTTTATTAACACAATCACTTGCGTAGCCATCATTCTCCAATTTCAAATTACTCTTATCCTCCAAAGAAATAAGATATACAAAGAGTTTAACAGACTAATGACTAATAGATATAATTAATGGTAGCAGAAAGCCAGACAAAGTTAAATAGAAGCATGCTAAAATACCAGATACAAAAGGCTGGAAGATCATTTCCTGAGCATATGCTAGCACAGAGGAACCCCTGGTTTAATTTTCTATAAATACAAAGAAAACTCCAGCTTTTTAAACAAAGCGTTATTTGAAGCTCAGAGCAAGGCACTTTTCCAAAGATGTAGATTCCTTTATTACAGATTCTCTTTCCAACTGTAAGAACTAACTCTATATCAGTTGAGCAAATTATTCCCATAAATAACCTCCTTCACCCACAAGCCTTTTCCCCCGTCAGCTGGGGTAGGCTCTTAGGCTAACTACCAACTGTGCTGCTGAATGATTTTCCAATTTCTGATGGCTACAGCACTTCAGGTTAGTTACTAGCTCAATAAGGTGTAGCGTAAGTCATCAGGACAAAAAGGGAACCAACCAAGGGTGACACATGTGCAGATGCAATAAAAATCACAGTAGCCCACTCTTACCTTTCATGCCCACAGCAAGTTCCTAGGGAGGCTTCTGCATAGGAGAGAGATGTTGGTGTGCTCCGAAGAGTAACACAATATTTCATGAGCTCTGCAGATGTATCACTTTATGCTGAAGCATCTTCTTTTTCCCGCAGAGTAACTTCTGAAACACTAAACAAAAACACTTGAAGGGCAAACCCATAAATTATCAAGTTATTTGTATTTAGGTTACTCTTTTGGAGTTAAAAAAATGGAGTAAAACTGACACAGCGTGTATCTTGCCTGTCACTGACACTGAATAGCACAAAACTGGCCCAAGGAGCAGCAAGGATTACTAGCTCTAGGCCAGACTGCATGGCATGGGCAAGCCATATAGTCTCTATTAGGACAATATTCAATAATGCTTTAGGAGGTAGTTGTTTCCCTCCCTTTTGGCCTTTGCTGAAATTTCCTCACTTAAATGTAAATCTAGGGAAGCAACATTTATCTATTTATGCAATGTCCTTGAATCAAAACAGTGAGGGAAAATATAAAAATTAATTAAATTCTTCACATAAGGCTACATCTGACACTAACTTAAAAGAGGATGATTAAAATAGGCAAAAAATATATTCATTTAAACTAAGATGTTCTTTTAATAGTAAAGTGTTTCTGAAAGAAATCAGATACCCAAATATGTGGGAGATAATACAAGCTAGCCCACAGCACTGAAATAATGCACACAAGACAGCTTTTATCCTGCCCAACAAGGCTGATTTCAAAAGGTCTTGTCAGGCAAAGGTCTGGAAGCTTTATAAAACAGCCTAATGTCCAAGAGAGAGGAGAATCACAGTCCAAAGCACAACAGGTATAAAAGGCCAATCAGCCAAACCGAGCTCTGCTGGATGAGCCTGAATTGCTGTAGAGTTTTATCATAGTCTCTGCATCTAAGATGAAAGGCCGTCAAGCAAGCAAAATATGCACATGATCTCTATATTCTTTTACAACAGCACATCAAAGTATTCATCAATCCCAGTGAAGAATATTTGGCTTCATGTTTGTCACATCTCTCATTTGTCACGTTGCAGGTCATGCTGCTTTCACATATCCCATGGGAGAAGTTGACTGTGAATTCAGACCAAAGCTGCACTAAATGTTCATAAATGTAATTTCCGGTAAGACTGAGCTTGCTTAGCCTCTGCAGGCATGGAATGCTAGAAAGCAAAATTTAAAAGTGGGAAACAAGAATGGAAGCTACTTTATTAAGGTGATGTTCGTATCTGAATTTCACCCTCATATAGCTCCTGTGTGGGTGAAATTAGATTTAAGCAGTTAACTGAATGCTAAATATCTTAGTGACAAATATGGTCTATGCACTTGCTAAAATGTCTAGAAGTATGCAAAGCAATAATATGGGAAAGGCAAGACAGAAAGACAAAGGAAACTTTTCATCTTAAGGTTTATTTTTAGGTCATATATTGAATGAAGGTTTGGCTTTTCCACAGAACACCCACACCCATGCAGCAGAGCAAAGATTCTGATGAATGTGATACCCAGAGTATCACAACTTTCTCCATGGTTGTTGTTTTCATATAATGTAGTTAGTTAATTAGATCTCCTCTGATCAATCATTGAATTACTGCTTCAAAAGGCATTGTGATATGATGAGAGTGCCTTGCAGCAGTTAAACACTTTGATTTTTCTGTCCTAACACATTTAAATAAAGAAATACTTTTTCTTTTTTAAGTTACAAGCACAATTTATCTCACAATTTAAAAACTGAGCAGTAAAATTATTGTAATATGGATTCATTCTCTCCCCTTCTCCTTTGTGGTATTTAAGACTAATCGCTTTCATGTTTTCCACGTGTCTTATTTTGATCTCAGGCTCTTTGGAGCTGCAACCTTCTCTCTCTCATGTTCTATTAAGGTCTTTTAATACCACGACCATTTAATACAGCTGAAGTCACAGATGTATTAGTGTCTCCTTCCTTGATCCTTGGGAGTCTGTGTCAAAAACCAAAGTAGTGTAGTCATTACAGTAAGATACTAACAGAAGCTCTTTTGTTTTCCTCTTGCAACTTGGCTCTTGAAGAGAAATTGTGAACTAAGGGTTAAGACTGTAAGTCATAACTTCAGCATGAGATTTGTGCATGACCTGGCATTGGGGACTCTTGGCTAGTTACTGCCTTGGCTTCTCTTCGTCCTTCTGTGGAAGGGGAAGAGCGACTACAGAACAGCATTACCCCAAGACTTGCCTCATTATAGTTTCTGTGAAGAGCTTTGGACTCTTTGGAAAGCAGACAGTACAGGAAGAGATGTGTGTAGTTTTTGGAAAAGTCTTGTCTTGCTGCCTCTCCAAAAGCAGATGACATTGCATGTGTAATATTCAGGGATCTTTGCATAGTGCTGTGCAGACAAGGAGTTCTGCTAGCAGTAAAGCAGACAAAAAAGCTTTCAAAGTCATGCTTCTGTTAGTGATACAAGTCCCCAAATGGGGAGAAAAGATGCATTATTTTTTTGAGCAGTGTAAATGATGGAAAATAATTTACTGTTTAATCCTAAAGACAGACATTTGCCAGATGAAAGAGAGCTGAATTGTAGTATAGGAAGTTCTGCAGTTGCCTTTCCAGCAGGATAGTGCAGTCCGCAGGTAATTAAATAACAGAAACTAATACCCATAACTCAACAGTATGTCTTAGCTATTATTTAGCAATTCTTTTTCTCCTGAAAACTCTTATACATAAATATGAGCTTAAAATGGAAATTACTCATAACAAGATTTATTTCATTGTGAATTGTTCTCATACAGCAATATGGAACCACATTTGTAAAGAAAACAAATCTCTCTTACTGCCAGCTGAAGCTGACCTGCACTCTTACAAAGTCTGCTATTTTGAATTTGAATATGCTACCTGTTATGTGGGCAGCAGGCCCCAGAGAGATGATACACCAGTCTGGCAACTCTCCATTCTGTGAAGCAGAAAGGTGCTGACAAACTGAAGGGGATTTAGAAATTAACAACTAGAATGAGAAGACAAAGGATTTTCATTTTTCTGGAGAAATTAAGACCTGGGTATTTTTATAGCAAGGTTGATTACAACCCCCAAATTAAACCCCACTACTCAGAGAAACAAATTATCATCTGACAGCTCTTTTCCTAGTACTTGCAGTGTTCCCCATGGACAGGCTGCCAGAGGAAAGAGATTTCCAGGTGCCTTCCAGAACCAAAAGGAGGAGAGGTTCCTGCTCCAGACCACCCTGTGGAGCTACTTTTCCTGAGGCCCAGGGCAGCTGATGTCACTGTGCGGCCCCTGTCATGTACTCACAGACACTACTTTATTTTTTGAAAGCTATTTCAGGAAGAATGGGCATTTTGAATAGAAGCCAGTTTGACTTCTCAGATTTAAATCTTAAGAAGTATCGTTACTTCTTTCTTTCCTTTTTCACTGTTGATTTCTTTCTGAACACCTGTTTCAACTCAGAGGACTCAGTTTCTCACAAGCTAATTAGTAAATACTATGGAACAATTTAGTATTTAGTCAATATTAAGAAGCAATATCTGGCTTTCCAAGCTTGAACATGAGCAAGGTGAAAATCAAGAATGTTTCCAAGTACGAGCCTGTTACCAGAGCACACAATGATGGACATCTCACCCTGCCTGGCCTCTGCATCCAGATGCCAAAAAGATCAGGCATTTAACTTCGGGCTTAAGATGAATATGTATAAGGTAGCAACATTCTTTTTAGTAACTGAACTGTTCAAAAGAAACGGAAGTAAAGAAACCACAGTTTGAAAGCATGAAAAGGGAGAAGGATTCTGGAGAACAGCACTGACTAACTCATGCTAATGCAGGGTCCCTCAACTGTGTAGAATGCCTTCCGTTAACCAGAGGCAACTTAATTACTTCTGTTCGATGCTTTTCCACCTACATGTTTATCGTAAAGCACTGAAGAAACAGCTCTGGGGATGAAAGGCTGCTCCTCTCATAGGTAATGGGTGCTGCAAAAACTCTTTCTGAAAGCTTCTATACTGCACATATCCAGGATGCCTCCATCCAGGCAGGATTGTCTAGCTCCTAATGTTGTGACAGTTCAGGCTCTGATTTTTTTTTCCAGTGGTTGGGATTAGTAAATAAGGAGTTCCCTTTACACCAGTTGAAAGAGTAAATTTTGTTTGGAGAAAATACCCCAAACTAAAAACCCCTCAAGGCTGCCCATTCCTTTATCTTAAGGCAAGAAACTAGCAGTAGATGGGAAGAAAACTTTTGCACACACAGCCTCTCCGAAATGCTTAAATGATTGAACAGGAGCAAGAGGTTCTTGTATCAGATTATCGATCTCTTGCAGTGTCCAGTCCCCCATAAATCTTCGTATCAACGACAAAAGGACACATCCTTCCTGACGCAGCCACATGCAGCATTGGCCATGGCACAGCCAGGGCAAGGCTCATGAACCCTGCAGATGGAACACAGAAAGGTTGTCCAAATCCAGCAAGGTTGGCAGGGGGGTCACCTAAACATAGGCAGGAACAAGCTCATCTTCAATTGTGCATGTCTACTGGTCACATAGTCTCTATTAAGGGACAACAACTGGCCAGATCCTGCATGGAGGTGAAGGTGCTGGTATTTGCACCACATAGTTAATAGGCCCTGAGTATTAGTAATTACACAAAAAAAAATACATAACTAATTAAAAGACTGTTATCCTGCACTTTTTGCTTTCAAACTTCTTGTTCCCAAGAATTGAATCAGGCCTCTCATCAGATAATTTATAGAATACCAGTTTCCATAACAACATAATTGCTCAATGAAGCAAAAATACCTGGCAGAGTTGCCATTATCAAGAAATAATTGACCACAACAGTCAGTGAAGGAGGCTGCATTAAAACCAAGATTGCTTGATGTCAACATGGCGAATTACAATCCAATAATGCTAGATCAAAGACCATTGTTCCCAACATGAATCACTATCAATTGTAGCATGTACATAAAAGGCAGAGCAAGATGGTAGTGAAAAATATTTTTCCTCACAACAAACCAAAAAGTTACGTGTAATCATTTAATGGTTGCAGAGCTCCATGGCCAAGACTATGACACGTAATTTTAGG